TGTTTTATTATTATTTAGTTCTCAGTAATAGTCGGTGTTTTTATTATTATTTAGTTCTCAGTAATAGTCGGTGTTTTTATTATTATTTAGTTCTCAGTAATAGTCAGTGTTTTTATTATTATTTAGTTCTCAGTAATAGTCAGTGTTTTTATTATTATTTAGTTCTCAATAATTAGTAATGAAGTCTCCACTTTTTGAGTTAAATTTATCTTTCAGTATAAATTATTTTTTCAATTTGTAGTAATATTTGGCTCTAAATGATTGGTAATTAATAATTACTCAATAGTAATAAAGTTTTTCAGCCTACAGTAATTGTTTCCATTTTTACTATTATTTGGCTCTCAGTATTTGATAAAGTCTCCAATTTTTAGTATTACCTACCTTTAAAGTAACTTTAATAATATTTACCTAATCAGTGTTTCCATTTCTTGTAGTACTTTTGTTCTGAGCAATTAGTGGTGAAGTTATCACATTTAATAGTATTTGACATTTAATGACTAATAGTGTTATCTTAATTTTAATATTGTGTAGTTTTCAGTGGATGTTTGTTCAGTCTTGCTGTAATAAACTACATAGAACTCGATTTTACTGTTATTTTCTCAATAGTTTTTACAACATCACTAGTATTTTTGGATAATATATTATACATTTGTAATGATTTAAATGTTGGTGTCAACTGTGGATACTTTTTGAGCCAATTGTGTAAAACATTATCCTTATGATATGATTATTTGTGCATAAAGTGTCTTATAACTTTATGGTTAACTGTTTCTAGTGACAAGTTGTACACAGTAAACACATTTTTCACTTACTCTTGTGATAAATCATTGTTAGTCTCTTAACAGTATTTTTCATTTTCAGAAACAACCACCAGAGGACGAGCACCATGGAACCTCAGAAGCTGACCTTCCAGTTTCAAGAATAACCTTTGCACAGTTGTTATGACCTAACATGAACAATGACAGAGTTGTAACCATCATACTCTGTAGGATAATGTGCTTCAAGAAAGCCTTTCAGAAGTGTGTATGTTGAAGTATCTTACAAAGACTTTCTGTGTACAGGACACAAAGGCTTTTCTTTGTAAATTAGTACAGGTACTTGACCAACAGGAAGATACCAGAAGAGAGCTCATCATAGATTGGCTTTGGATTGTATCATTAAATTCATTGGTTTATATATAAGTGTTTGTAGGTAATATTGTGTAATATATCACACTGTGCTTTCTTTTTCACCATTTTTTTTCTGAAGTTAGGTTTCAGGCAGGATTTACTATCTAAGACTTAACACATAAACAGTAAATTTCCTTTTGTGGTACTACACCTAACCTAAATGTGTGAAAACAATTATCAGTAATGATTTTAATAATATGCACAAAAAGATTTTCAGTGTGTTACCCTAGTACTCTTAAGTGTGAAAGATTATAAATTTAATCTTCATCTGAAATACTAGTATATTAAACTTGTATATTTTATTTTGTGATTTACTCAATAGGGTAAAAAAAAACGTGTAAAAAGTTGGTCCTCCAAGAAATGCTTCTAATTAGTGTTACACTGAGAGAAGAGCTTTGCATATTGTGTGTATAACCATTACTCAGTATATAACATACAGTTGTAATGTCAGCCAACTATATTCGCTGTCAAGGATACAAACATCACTGTACTTTGCCCCTTTTTGTAGGGTAACTATGGAAGTGTAAAATATTGTCATACCTGTACTTGTGCATTTCCAGTCCTTAAAGCAGAGGACATATATTTATTGTGAAGTAAAGGTAACACATGGTCTGCTTGCTCTATGTAGAATGTCTTCAGTAAATTTCATATTTTTGACAAACAAGGATAAAACAATCAGTTAATGTGTATAAGCCTATTACTAATAAATCTTAACTAGTTTCTTAGCCTTTTTGTGTTGACTGTAGTAGACATGTTAAATAATAAGTAGCATTGATATACACTGCTGTATCAAAGGACTCTGCATGACTTGATGTGCTTGTACCTTGTCTTAAGCCCCATTTTTTTTAACTTAAATTATTTAGCTGGGGTATGTGGGGAAATATATGAAAACCAGCTGCCACAGAAAATATCTTGAAATTTATTACCTGGACATATTTTGCGATGTTTATCCTAGTAAGTTTTGAGGTTGTGTATTTGTTGGTATAAAGTTAATGAACAGATTACACAGAGATAAGAAATTTCTGCTTTTTTTTTATATGCTACTGGCCATTAATGAGATTGATGCAAGTTTGATAAGAAAAAGTTGCAGTATTGGGTAGGGGTTGAAAGTCTTTGACCAATGATAAATAATGCTTGGCTTCACTTGTAATATTGGCACTGTATTAAAAATTGCATGTTTGTATTCATTTTGAGGTGAAAATACTACTGAAAGTCAATGCTGAAATTATTAAAGGTTTATTTTAAATGAATAGTCCACATCTAGAAAAACATTAGGATGCAAAAATAATGCTCTTGAAAGAATTAAATGTCTCGTAATGGAAAGTTAGCATTATTTCCATTATTATTACTGCACAAGTATGAGAGATACAGACCATACAAGCAGTAATGTTAATACTAATTCTGTATGAATATCTAACTATTAAGTTAAAATGCACTATATTTCCTTTGCTCCTCCATCCAGACTACGGCACTGATTGTGGACTTAGCTGTGCTTGCTGTTAATCTCCAGATTGTTTTTGACCTGACCTACTTTCATCATGAAAACAACTTATGAAAGTCTACTTTTATAAGTGTTAAAAGACTTAATACATACCACAACCAATATATCTTTTCTGTCTGAACATTGAAGCTATGAAAAATTAAAATGTCTTAGTTAAATTATTTTTCCATATTTCTCACCCATTGTAAGATAAAATGCTTTTTGGGGGAAAACAGTTAAAAATCTCAACAGATTTTTTTTTCAGATTTTGCATACTAGTTAAAATCGCAGTCAACAATAACAAACAATTTGAGAGATATTTTAATGCTAATCAAGTGTAAAAAATAAGCTTTAGATATTTTGAACATCTTTTATGTTACATAGATTAGAGAAAGAGTGAAATTAGTATGGTTCATATTACTGTATTAAAGCTTGTTTATCTCACTAAAGTTGTGGAAATGACAACTTCATGAATACAATGTATTCCGATTTTTTTATAACAGTAAAATCTGGAATATTTGGACCAGTTTTAATTAAAATGTGTACTAACAATCTTGTAGAAATTTCAGTAAGTGATAAAGAAAACAGAATGTGGGTTAAAACCATGTTCCACCACAGGTTGGCGACGTTTTCACGTGTACAAATTTTGTGAAACTTTGAAGTAAATAATTTAGCAATTTTACAGAATTTGTCAATCTCAGTTTCTGTAATATATGTGAATATTTTTATAGTATTATAACAAAACATAGTTTTGGAATATAAAACTAGAGCATTGATAGTTTGGGATGTTGAATCAACTATTCTTTTTCAAACTTATTTCTTACCCGTTTTGAAATTGTTTTACAGTAATTTCTGGCAACAATACTATTTAAGCAAGCTGTTCTCGAAGCTTGACTAAAAGAATTCCTGGTCAGCAATTGTATGCTTTATCTTCCAGTTTTTTAAACATTAAATCGTTTTGTCAACTGACAGTTTTATGATTCCCCCACTTAATTCTTTGATACATTACTATATGATCATTATATAATACTTATGTTAAGTGTTTCAGGTTCTGGAAGTACCCCATAAATTTTGGTAATAACGTATGATATAGCTAAAATTGGGACATAAAATAGTAAAATATTTAACAATTGTAATGAATAAATATGAATACATTAAAAAAATGGATATTCTAAATGATTCTACCCCTCTTGAAATCATGAGCCACAATCTCACTGCAGTAAGAGCTTTTATGTAAATGGGAAAAATTTAATATCCGAATTTTTTCAATTTGTTAAATCTGTTGTTTCTCACAGCCCTTAGTTTTATGGAGTACCAAAGATCTATAAACCAAACTATTGCCTCTGATCTATTATAATTCTTAACAGTTTCAATTTACTGGAGGTAAGATTTGTGCTTGGATTACTAGTAGATACATAATTCACCTGCAAAGGTTAAAAAGGCTTTGTTGAAAAATTACTCAATCTTTTATACACACACAAGTTTCTTTTCATAAAACTATAAAATTAGTTCTTGAATATATCAATAGTGACTTGCACTCTTTAAGTAATTATACCAACGATCTTTTTACCGTTGTAACAACTGTAAATTATAGATATTAGGGTCACTGAATGATAAACCCTGTCTTAGCTGTACTATGCATGTTATTTATAATAAGATTTGAAATGGTTGCCTTGAATAATTCAGTTTTAAAACTATCAGTGTTGACTGCATTTGTAAGATGGAATGTGTGGAGGCTAAAACAAAGACACAGAGAAGACAATGAATTATTTAACCCTAGATAAAATTTATCAAGAAATCCAAACGCAATTAATAATTTTCCTTTCTTAATGATCAAATAAAATACATTCACCACTTAGGCTTATTGTAAATCCACCATTACTAACTTAATTCTGCCATAGGAGCTTAATTTGTGTACCTACCATTTAAGTAAACCTGTTATATTCACTATCAAACCACGTAAAAGGCTTTCATTTTAACTATTCTACAAATATATAGATAATATACTGTCAAAATCATTCCAATTTTTACACAGGAAACTGGAAAGTTAAAACATCTTTACCTTGCTCAGATACTCAGGATGAACCAATAGAAATAAAATGGAAAATTCATTCTGGTCAAACAAATTATCAATAAATATCGTAATGCCATACTATACTTTTAGACATTTTAACTGTGCCACCTTTTTGAATTTGTTGACGAACATGTGTGTACACCCTTATTAATGTAATAGTTTTGTCCTGATTATGGTGTTTTTATGCTGGTGACCATTTTGACTATGCTGTTATATCCCATTTTCAGCTGTTTTGTTACTTTTTTTTTAAATAGATAAGCATCCACTGATATAAGATTTTAAAGTACTAGGTTTTAGTGTTATAGTTTTAAAACGAGACCCAAAACTCGAGCGCTTTCGAATAGTTGAATATTTTTCTTCGAAAGCGCTTGAGTTTTGGGTCTTGTTTTGAAAATGTTACAACTTGTGTTGGTGATCCTGTTTGCTTACTACTTAACCACATTTGGATATATAGTAACTGGAACAACTGTAGAAGGATTCGGTAATCCTCCTCCACCTCTTTAGTGTGTTGATTACAAGTAATATAAAGATGTTACGGATAGTTTTACCTGGAATTTCAAAGTTTAACATCACAGAATATATTAGGGAGCAGTAAAATGTTACTTAAGGGAGCGTAATACCCCCTATTTCATTTGTGTTGCTGGGAATGTATAACGAAACAGACAGGTTTATTAACTTGTAAGTGTGTACTGTTATCAAGTTTTAACTAGAGAGAGAGAAATACAAGAATCACCCTCAGTAAGTAATATTCATTCCAAATATAAAAAATAACCATACAAGTATGAAGATATTATTGGATTTATGCACTGTAAAACCTAAATATTTAAGAAGTTGAAACATTAGCTCTGAAAATGGTTCCCTATTAAATACCACGACAGTCGATAACAGCATTTCATGACTGGCAGTCATTAATTTTCACTATTAAATATATTGTAATATTTAACGTTATACAGTTAACTTTAAAAGTCTTCTGGGGACACAATGTATTTAAACATTACATCTGCAAAATAAATACTTTTTTTTGTTTTTGCCATACACATCATACGTTGATTTTGCAACTAACTAATTAGGAATGGCTGAATTAAATAAATGCAACTAATTAAAGAAAGTTATCGATACAGGCAATTTTATTAACTCTATAAATCTCTTTCTCCCATAAGATACTTTTTGTATGCTTGTCCATTGGAAAATCAAAGGCTCGTCTATCTTGACAGAACAGGTTAAAAACCCAGGAGAAGACCAAGAAAGTGGCAGCATTGGTTGGAAAGGCCCTGATCAGTGTTGAGTTCAAACCTTGGGTAAACCCCTTTAGTCCCTCCTTGTTGTAACTTTTAGAGCAGCAATCCCATAAGCCAGTGTACTGTGGTGGTCCAAGAGCACCATCTGCTTGAAGACGAGACTTGATTACATCTACAGGGTAGGTTACAATCCATGAAAAGATACCTGCTAGTCCACCAGCAGCTAATAGACTTGTTGTACTAAGCCCATTTTCACCTTCAGACAACATGCGCGTCAATATTTCAAAGCTACCGAAGTAGGAAGCAAAACCTGGAGCGTCACGCAGGATGGTGCAGGGTAATCCTTTAAAAAGTCCACGAAACCCTTCTCTTTGCATCGTCTTCAACAGGCAGTCAAGAGGACTGCTATAAGAGTACATTGTATTTGTGGAATGAAGGAATCGAGGTGTAATTGTGATTGCTTCCTGGCCCTGAAGTTGCAAGCGGGTTTTGGTCAGCTCCATAGGACTACAGATAATACTCTGGATGGTCCCAGCAGCAGCTCCAGCAGCCATATGACTCATCAGGGAGTTGGGGTCACTAAATGAACGATGAACATTACCATAGACTCCAAAGGCAATGGCATTGATAAAGGCAAGGCTACACATTGGAGAAGACATCCCCTTGTATAAACCATGCACCTATAAAAAAAATGTAAAGTGAAATTTGTTTAAACTTTCACTATTTAGACTGAAAATTGAGATTGATGCACTACCTTAAACCTCAATAATTCAAGCTTTACTTGGCAATCATTTAGATGTTATGAAAAAATGTAAAATTTTATATTTTGAATATTCAATCTATGCATATTTGTGATGGATAACAAACCATTCTGATATCAAGTTGCTAAATCTTAAAATGTTCACAATGAACTATTTTCTGAGTATTAAGTTTGTGATATTTAAATCGACTATTTTATCCATAATCTCAGATCTTTTGAAAACATTTGTTTTTGTATGCGTGTCATATAAGATTAATAGTAACTGAGACTACCGTTTTTTTCTTAACGATATTTCTTCTATAGATATTGTATACATGTATAACAGTTTCTAAGCGAAACAACTGTTTAAGACTATTAAATATCAAACACAATGCACCTCTTCCATAGTGTGTTCAGTCTAAAAATGCCATTTGTCCAAATTAAAAACTATACAATGGTTCCTGCTAACTAATTTTTAAGAATTTTACGAATAAAATCAATCTATTCTCTAATTTTCGTAAAATTATTTATATACATATAGCTTTCTTTTTATTATCTGGCAAACATTCAAAAACATTGATTTAATCCTATTTTAGCAAAACAAAGGTTTTATTTCATATTATTTTAACCTCAGAATTACCGATGAAGTACAACACCTTTTGTCTTTAGAAAGAATCACCAATGGTCAAATAGCTGGCGTATCCGCGTAAAATACACATTTTTTTGAGAGATACGTTATTTGAATTGGTGTGCCCACTGGTAGCACAACGTGAAAATGACTGTTTTTCCACAAATTGCTAAAAGGGAAATAAGCCACAACTAGGGGTGTAACGATACATCAAACTAGCGATAGCAATGTGTTGCGTCATCGAGGTCACGTGACTGGTGTGGCGCCACCTATTTTCTAGAACCATCCTGCACCTTGGCGAATGCTCTAGTATTTACTAGATATAGGGTTGTCTGGTATATAAAAAAGGGTGACAACGTGACGGTAATGTAATGTGTGTGTAGATAGTGAGTAATTGAACTGCAGTCACAGGCCAAAAGTTTGAATGGACAGTTTCTTGCCAGCATTCTTTCAAGACGTTGAAGGAAAAATTGGCCTCTGCTCCACTTTTAAAGCTTCCAGATCCCTCACTGCCGTACATACTGGATTGTGATGCTAGTAATGTTGGAATTGGAGGAGTGTTGTCTCAGAAAGTGGGCGAAAACGAACATGTGGTGGCCTACTTCAGTAGGGTGTTGAGTAGACCAGAGAGGAACTACTGTGTGACACGGAGGGAACTCCTTGCTATAATAAAGAGTCTGACATATTTCCATCCTTACCTCTATGGTGCAAGGTTTACCATCAGGACAGACCATGCTGCGTTACGCTGGTTAAGATCATTAAAGAACCCAGAGGGACAACTAGCACGTTGGATTGGAAAAATAGACCAGTATAATTATAATATTGAATATAGAGAAGGAAAATCCCATGGTAATGCTGATTACCCTGCCGAAGACCCTGCAAAAATGACTGCAGACATT